TACGGTTCGAGTGATTAATCGGTTTGTATTAATAATGATTGGCTAATATTAATAATATTTCAATAAAAAGGTTAAGCTGGATGATTTATGAGAATTTCTCAGATGAACCGGTGATTAATCAATTTCAAGCTTCAACGGTGTAAGTAGTATTTATCGAAGGATAATAAAAGATCGTGTGAACTTTTTGAGAAATAAATTAACTGGAAATAAATATGTAAATAAATGAGCCATAGATGATTTCAATGTTTACGATCGTGTCATTCGGCAGTTTTAATGAAGAAAGTAATGGGATTATTAATTAGTAATTAGTTGTTGAAGTAACGAGTATCGTGAAACGTGTTTTCATTAAATATTTGAATATGTTTACCGGTGAAAGCAATTGCTATATGTTAGGAATTATGTTAAATCGACAGATGGGGTTCTTGATATTGGCTGGTGATTGTTAATACCAACGTTTATTACGTGAACCGTTTATTACAGATGCACTGGCAAGTGATTTGCGACAGTTTTTCTGATAGTCTCGTGATATATGCGAATGTATCTGAGACTGGTAGTGGTGAGTTCAATTCGCTTGCAACAGTGATCAAGTAAAACAGAAGAAAAGAAAAAGGGGAAAAAATGGAAAGAAGGAAAACAAGAGAAAAAAAGAAGGTAGAATAAAATAAAATATATATAAAATAGAAGAAAATAAAAAAAAATAAAATAGAATAAAATGAAATAAAATAAAAAAGAACAAAGCAAAATAAAATAAAATAAAATAGGAGCATCGAACCAAAAAATGTCGCAAGCTTCTTGTCAGTGCACTTATCTGCACCAAAAGAGAAAGAGTGACAGTGAAAGTCAGGGGAAGAATGACAGAGGCAGGAGGCATCGGTGGAGTTACAATTCGTTCCAACCATTGAGCCGGAAGTGGAATGGCCAACCTGTGCGTCTGTCGTGCGCTCAGCGTGTGGAATGGTACCGACGTTTAAACTTCCGTTAATCTTTAAGTAGCCGCGAGTAAAGGACGACACCTTACACCGTAAATAGACAACGATCAGTCATAGGCGATCTGTTTCTCTGTAAAATAAAATATTCTTTTCGATCTCGAACACACGAGCAGGCTGTTGATTCGATTCCCCGCGGTCGCGCGATCGCTTAAAGATTAAAGTTTCACCGATCAGTTTTCCTTCGACGTTTCCCGACGGGTTCACGAGCGTCTGCTCATTAACACGAAGCTCAAGCTTAATCCTTATGTTAGCAACCAGGTATTTACCCTTCTTTTTTATTTAAACAATTTCGACCTCCATCGAGATCGCAACGTAATTACATTAGTGTATATAAAGTTTAACATAACACATCGAGAGAAGTCTTATAAAATTATTTTCATATTTCTCCCCGTTGAATACAGACCCTTTGGACACTTCTACATTGATCTGTGCGTGGAAAATAAACGAATCCATGCAAAAATATCGTAACACTGAAGTATCGACAGATGTAGACGTTTTGGTTGCTAATATGAGGGTTAGACGCCGACAAACAGGAATTGGTTAACGAAATTCGATGCTCAAACATGTTCAAACGCGTCCAAACTCTCGCAAACAGGGTCTAACTTCAGGGAATCGAAGCTGAGGCATATCAGAGACTTCGTGAATAGGTGTTAGAGCTCGAAGAATCGAATACAAGCTCGATAGAAGCGTGGCAATCCCATAACTGTTATATAAATAATAATTAAACCTAATTACAAGCTCAACACAAATAATCGACGCTAAAAAAGATTCACGCAAGAGAAACTTTGCTTTAATTAAAACAATCCTCCAATAAATAAAATCATTCCAATCTTACAAACTTCAATGCTAAAATCCATTCCAGAATCAATCCGTTTCACCCAAACACGAGCTCGAGCTTTAAACTGCTAAATCAGCGTCTCGTTTATGGAAGTTTGAGCATGTTTGACCATCGATCCTTCCCGATACCTCCCTAAATCTGCTCATCGATGTTCAACCAAGTCTAACCACCGATTCACCTCGATCTACACCCTGTTTGCACATGTTTGGCCACGTTTGAACAAGTTTGAACAAACCCAAACGTCTCCAGCACCCATCGCCACGGTTTTCGGCCTCGTCTCGTCGCGGGACACGGACTAACATACTCTAATTACGAATGGACCTTAGTAAACCTTACGCTAACGCATACCTTCGTCGAATGTATACTCGGTGGAACAGAATGTACAGGGTGGTCCCGTAACGAGGGACCAAGCTTCCAGCCGCAACTCGTAGGCTAGTCCGTTTCTTGAACCTTCGACCGCAGTGCCACTCAGAAAAGTTTCTACGAAAGTGTCCACTGCCGGGCAACTCGGCTGGAACATCGCACAATTGTCGAACTAACTGTCAATGTCCACGTTCCTCGCCAACTTCTTCGAGTTCCACGCGGAATCGTCGGAATCACTCGACACGTTTTCACTTCGTTTCACGATTGTTCGACGAGGAGGTCGCTACATTTGTTCCACCCGTTATATACTGGAACGCCAATGATACAGACGGAGCTACTACCGATCCCCAGCTCGGATGGACCCGTTTCTCGCCGGTCACCGCCGGACACCGTCTCGATATTCCCGTTCAATGGGTTGCGGTTACTTGTTACTGTGTAAAACACTAACCTCCTATATTTATAGCAACAACTGTACAAGCGAACACCGCGCCGATCGATTGGATTCAATTGAAAAGTGCTCTTCCGGTCTCGAATCTCTCGCGCTTTTACTTCTCCCTTGCAAACCAACAAATAATACACTCGTGAATTTCTCTACGCGTACCTTTGAGTGTTCTTGATGTTATAAAAATAGTTTCCGAATAATTACGGATTATTCTGAGTGTTGAACATTATTGGAAATGGAGAGTGTGTACGAAGATTGTAAGGAAATGAAAGTAAGTAGATAATATATTCAATTTTGTTTCGACTAGTACGAAGGGAAATGGAAGATTTTTTCTGATAACGGATACTGGAGGTTTTCTATATGCAATTTTGAGTATTATTGGTATTGTAAAAATAGTTCTTCAACAATTACGGACTTCTCGGAGCGTTAGAAAGTTATTCGAGCACGTCGACGTGTGATTTATCGAGATTCTGAATAATGAACGAATAAAGTAACTCTTAATTCACTGATTCTACTGATTAATTAAAACAAAAGAGAATGGAAATGTTTAATATACTTTTGGCAATTCTATAACTGTCAATGCATACAATAAAAAAATATAAAACAAGTATAATACTTTCTATAACATTTATAATCAAAAGCTACTTCTCAATTTCATTTATTCAATTGTGTCTAAAAAGTTTTAATTCACAAGTCCTCAGTCAATGATTGATATAATAATGATGCACGGAATATTTATTTAAAAATGAAAATTAATAAAATATCCAGCCCATGGAACTGAAGAAAATGATTTTTAATGATTTTATGGCAGAAGTTTGCTGAAAGATTTCGAAATTCGACGAAAAACGGGATTCGAAACCGGAAGAGCTGTCCTTGAAGAGGATCGACGGAGGAAACCGGGCTGTTCAGTCGATCGAGGGACGCCTGAATTCGAAACACCGAATACACACCCCTGTTTCGTTGGATCGGAGTTCACTCTACTTTACATCGAAATAACTTTCAATCTTTATCCTCCCGCGAAATTCGGTTTCATTCGACGCCATTTGTTTTCGACACCGCTGCCGACTTAACAGCTAGGTTGATTGGCAATGATCAATGCGGAATTGTAGGACGGTACGTGAATCATCTGGAAGTCGGCTCGATTTTCTCGGGCGTTTCGCGTGGAGATCGTTTCTGGGTGAATTGCAGCTTAAGGGATGCAGCTCCATATTTATTCATGTGTACCAGACTAGGGACAATTACTGCTGTGATTTAACTTAACGATTATTATTGAACAAATTATATTTTCTTATTAAAACGTTAAGGAATGTTATTTCATTAGTGAAGTTAAATTTTTGATTTATTTCAAAATCTTTGTAGAATTTTTAGATCTGTAGTGTCTTTGAGATTTGAAAAGAATTATGTATTGAATAATTATTAGTTAACTGTCATTGATTTCATTAATAGGATTAATGTATTACGTAAAAATCGGTTGCTTCTCGTTAAGTATACAGAATAAAAGGTATGTACTACGAGTATCGATTCACTGTTGCTTTATTAATTGAATATAAAAAAAACATGGTGACATTGCTAGTGAAGATTAAAGGATAACATGACTTTTGCGTAAAATAGTAACGGTTGCAGGTCCAAAATTTGCGGTAAATCCCTGGTTTGTTAACGAATCTGCAGTGAACACGCCAAACGAAGCACGAAGGTTCTCCGCGTGTATCACAAGTACTAACTAGTAAATTGTCAATAATGGAGCTGCATCCCTATTGCTGGGAATCCTCGATCTTCAGTAGCTAAACTCGAGCAGTTGCATAAACAAACGAATTCCTTCTTCACAGGAAAATGACAAAGTCTTGTATAATTCTATTGGTTCTTACCAATAATTCAAAGGTACCCTGTATATCTTCGGCACTAAGGGGACTTCATTCTTCTAAACAAAGAATTGAACATATAAAGAAAATAATAAAATATATCAATAATGAAATAATACTAATAAAATTATTAATAAATTAACAGATGAATATGAAAGACCTAATTAAGACCAATAATTCAAAATTACCCTGTTCTTATAAACAAAGAAGTAAAGAAATAAATAGAGTAACAAGTTTATCTCAATAATAAAACAACATTAATAAAATTATTAATAAATCAACGAATTTATTAACTCATTTATCGAAAATTGTTATATAATTATTGAAACTGAATTCTTATTTTCAAGGAAACTTGAAGACAACGAGGAAATATTCCATTTCCTTGTGAATAATTTTTGTGAAATTTAAAATTAAAATATAATATTAGTAAATATCGATTTAGTGGCGGTCGATCGATAAATGCATCGAGAAACGATCTCGCGGCCGACCGAGTGTCCTCTGAACAGCCGTCGTTTCCGGTTCTCTCGCGGTACTCTATATTTACACGATTCAGCCGGGATGGAGTCGGTTTCGTAGACCACACACGCTTATAGACACGGCTTCAGACAACTGCGTTGAAGCAAAGATACAGTCTAGGTGATGTCACTTGTGGGAAACACAATGGCGGAAACGGAATTTGATTATTGTTGAATATGAAATATATATTTCAGCTCATTGATGATTTTTCTATTCACTTTACCATTATGATTTTAAATAGTCCTCGGTTCAACGTATTTTGGAAATTAGTTTTGAGGAATTAGTGAAATTTTCACTCGAATGTTGATAACATTCAATTTGTAATTATTTTGTTTGCGTTCGAATCGCAATAGGCAATAAGGATAATGAATGTCTAGGGAAGAATCGTTTGTTCATAGTTATTGACTGTTTAGTAGTTTTTTCAAGTTTGTTTGTTATTCTAGTATAGTTAGTTGAACTTCGACAGAAACGGTGGAATCCGTTATTTTCAATAACCATTGCCAACAAGTGACGTCACGTTTGACTCGTTATCTTTGCTCCACTTCGACTCGTGGATCCGTATATACAGGCCGTGTCAATAAGTATAAAGGGTGATTCATAAATGTATGTGCATACTACAGGAGATGAATCTACACACAAAAAACACCCTATGTATTTATGTCCTATATGTCTCAATTTCCGAGTCACACATTTTTAATAGCATAGATGGGATATAAACTATTCCCGTGGTTCACAAAACGATGCCAAATGGACAAATTAAGTAGACATTTAGAAAATCTAGGAGAATAAACATAAAGTCTGTCTGTAAACTGTCTATCAACTACAAAATTACTTAACAATATGGTATATATAATTTCTAAAAAATAAATAATACAAAAGAATAGTTGAGAACCACTGGTATACACAATTTCATAAGACAGAAATATTTTCATGTGTAGATTCACTGCCTCGACTATGGATACGCATTTAAAAATCACCCCGTATATGAACTAAGGTCAGTTGCGTTGGGACTTTCGATTAGTAGAGGTTCGCGGTCTTCAGGGGCAGCGGGTCCAACAGATAGGGCGGCAATGCGGCCGAAAAGGGCCTAGGGCTGCAGGATCCCCACGCTCCGCCCCCGGCCCCGCCCCCTCGTGTGTTCGGCGATCCACCGTCCGCTGGCCCGTCCGTCGCGTGCTTCACGCTGATCAGGTTCGGGTTCGTGATCGGCTTCACCTCGTTCGCGGACAGCACGCTGTTCGATCCGCCCGGCGGTGTTGCCGGACTCCTCGGCGAACGTCCTTCCGCTTTTACGTTGCTGGCAACAGGGCTGGACGCGCCGCTGTCCACGCCCATCCCGCTCTGCGACGTAGACTTCTGCTGGGCCAGTCTCTCCTGCTTCCGGAACTTCGCGCGCCGGTTCTGGAACCACACCTGCAACCAGGGGCACTTCAGTTGACTCGGATGTCGTTCCTAGAAGTACTAGACTGATATGAAATTGTAAAACAGGAGGCGGAGCCTACATATGAAACTTTGAGGCAGGGGGCGGGGTCTAGGTGTAGATTGTTTAGGGAGGAGGAGCCTAAATATGCAAACTTTCAACTTGGAGTGTATATTAGGATGTAGAACGGTATGACTCGCTCATTATGACGGAATAAAATTCTTCTTAGGGGGCGGAGCATAGTGGGTGGATACTAAATATAGAATTTCAGTTGCCAGTGATCATTAGCTTCTAAGGTATTCATAGTAAACAGTAAATTTTGTGTTTACAGACGTCTAATTTAGATTAACAATATCGGCTTTCCTGTATATAGGGTGTTTTACGAAAAATCGATCATTGTAGTTGGCAGTTTAATAAAGTTCAAGTTTTGAGCGGGTATGAGGTACCCAGAAACAATCGAACTACTACTCTTAGGTTCCCAAGAAAAAAAGAATTTGTAATATAATACGTAATTTACTATAAATATTACTAACAAAAACATTTCCCAAACGCTGTTCCCCAAAATCCACATTTTAAGACCTTACACCACTCACGTCCCAATTTAATCCCAATATCAACAACAGCAACACCTAAAACCCTCAATTATTAGCAAAAAATCAAATATCCAATCTACCCGAACACAGATAAAGCTAATCTTCTCCGATGGTGCAGCACCGTCCAACTAACCCGACCGGACGAATGCTCAGCGATCCCCAAAGTATCCAGGGTGTAAAACATTTTCTACCATCGATCTCCAACGACGTAGAGCGAGACGGTCGCGCGGAGCGAGGAAGGCCGGCGGGGTGGAGACGCGTCAGGTCCCTCTGCTCGTCAGGCTGCGCTCGTAATTGGCTCTAGTTGGCCAAATGAAATATTTAACGAATAAAATAAACGGAAACCGGCGGTGACCTGCATGTTAAAGTAGCGGATTTATTTGCTCTACCGTTTATCTGACCAGCAAAGCCAC